TTTTATTAACTTTGCCAGTTTTAAGTTGCTCAACCGCATATATCCTCCCGTATATATTCCTTCGCAGCTTAAATCAATGAACAGCAAAAGARACCTTAAGACCTTATCATTTAGTCACGCGTTGTAAAAATTTGGCGCGCAGATTCAGAAGAATCGATAACGCCGCTATTAAGAAATAAAACTGGCGCTAAGTCCGACAATGAGGACTGAACGGGTAATTTGAAGTCCGGCATACTTTGTTCACCCTTGTCTTAACTACGGACAGATTACTTCGAGACAGCCCACCCACCGAGCCCCCGACATCACTTGGTCTCCAACTTTACACATGCAGGTATACCGCTGCCCATTTCGTGGACAACAAGCTTTTCCGTGCTTTCACGTGTAAGTGGAAATGTAGTACTGTCTATGGTGCATTAACTAGTGCGCCAAATCATTGAGAAATGCCAGAAATAACAATTGTTCGTTTTCAGCCATTCCCATGAGATTCAAAAGACGTAACTTAAAAATGAAGAATGAGATCGTTAGGTCGAGAAAGTGGACTACGAGTTGAGAACTATTTTCGTCTTTGTTTCTGAGAWCGTTCACTTAGTCATGCGTTGCAAAAATTTGGCGCGCAGAATCAGAGAAATCGATGAAGCGCCGCTGCATGTTAATAATAAAGATAAAGCTTTTTTCTACAAGAATATTTACTTTTGTGTGGTAGAGTGTACAGTAAATACTCAGGACATGAGAGAATGACCAAATCCAACGGAAGATATCAAATAATTTTCTCGTTTCGCATCTATGATTTGCGCGCGCGCGCACGGATTGATGATTAATTCTTTTGAAAGTTCTAGCGCACTTAGAATTGTTTGCTTTTCCTTTCTGCTTTGACAATGTTTATACCGTGACGTTTTTCTAAAGATAGCTGAGCATAAAAACGAATCTCTTTCCTTAGGTGCGATAAAGGCTCAAAACTTTGCTCTGTGTTTTGAAGAAGTAATTTATATCTATCACGTAGTGATATTTTGAGTCGATCAAGGTCAGTGCTTTCTATTCATTGACACCTCAAGTGTCCTCAAGATCTATAGCGTATCTAAAAGCTACTTGCATGCTTGGATTGATCCCTACTGGAGTTCCGCAAGGAAGCTTAAGTAATAGGCTCAGTCTCCAGCCGTCGGGATTTCGTGCGCCCGCGATACTCTCTCCCYTGACGGCTGGGCGCATGGGGTTCGCTATTGTCAGTTTCGACCAATCAGCGAGTGGCCCCCGATATTTTCAGGGGCATATCATTAATAAATTAGCAGGCAGCCGTCGTCGCAGTGTAACAAAATGGCTTACAATTCGTCGTTTGAGATTCTCGTTCGAACGCTCTGAAGTCGTTCAGCTTGGACGAATTTAGAGAAATATAGCAAAAGGCTCTTTAAGAGATTGTTCTTGGAAAAGATGTCCTTGTTATTCTTCCTACTGGCTCGGGCAAATCTCTTATTTTTCAAACAGCGCCACTAGTGTATTTTGCTCGTCTTTCTGGCAGATAATATATCCATTTGGATTATTGAACCCTACACATGTTTTACTTGGGGTAATTTCCATTCCTTTCTCTTTTTTAAAGCGCTAACTATTACATTATATCGCCACTTCGCGAAGTTTTCATTTCACATAATTTCCCGCCTTGTAGCAAAACCTTTTACAGATAACTTCCGTTCACTTAAAAATTCACTTCCGTTATTCATAATATGCTAATTACACAAAAACGTCACGGACATGCGCGACACGTTTCGAACCCCATGCGCCCATCCGTCAGGGGAGAGAGTATCGCGGGCGCACGAAATCCCGACGGCTGGAGACTGAGCCTACTTAAGTAATGGCCCGAGTAAGAACTATAGAAGCAAACGGCAAAGGAATGCAAGAAGGTGCTAATTGTGTATTGTATAATCCATCCATCCCATTGGTTCAAACAAGAAAATCTGCTATTTCAAAAATGTGTTAGCCATAGGTTGATATATAATCAGTGTGAAAACCAAGACATTTGTATGTGGGGAAGTTGCAATACCGCAGAACAATAGAGAGTTCTACAGTTCTTACGCGCATTGTTACTTAATAAGACCTTTGTACGAGTTTATGCATCAGCCAATTAAAACCCCGGTCCATCAAAACTCGGGGATGGTCGGAGAATTGAGATACTAAAGCCGTGGATTTAACAATGTTTTAATAGCATAATTAAAGTAAGGGGAATTGACGTTTTAATCAAAGAAATAAGTTTAGCCGACTAACAGGCCTTTTGCATGAAACGGTCACATGGTACAAAATCCGCCATACTGGATGGCAAACAACCTCAAAAACAAAGGGAACGCAGCCCATCAAGCTTGATTTTTCTTTGTTTTGAAAATCCCAGTGGGTATTTTGCCATCCAGTATGTTGTATTTTGTACCATGTGACCGTTTCATGCAAAAGGCCTATTTTGGTCTCAAAGGGACAGGAAATTCACGCACCGCGTCGTTGAGATGTCAATTCCTCGGGTATACCCCGAGGGTCGGGTGGCCGTGGTTTCAATTGATTGATCATACTTGGCTGTTTTCCTCAGTGAGTCAATGAAAAATCGCGTGCATTTTGGTACAGAGGTATCGAATTGCTTCAAAATAAGGTTGTCCTTCATTTGTCAGCCATATTTGGTAATGTTACCTTTGGAAGTACGTGTGGACTGGTTTTTGGCGATTTTCTTGACTTTTAAACCTTGAAATCATCTGAAACTTGTAGATATTATAGCAAAAACACTTCTGAAAAAGCAGCCATTTTGTTTGTTTTCATATATGGCATGGATTAGCTAAAGGAAGCTCAAAACTGAAGTGCACGGGGCAGCCGTTATTGACAAAAATTTGTTAATCGTTTGTAGGTCTTATCTTAAAGAGAATAAAAGATTAAAATATCTCAGAAACAAGATATCGTTTATTAATGTTCTTTCGTCACGTGGTGTGGCCATAGGTCAAATGAGACCATTTTTGACTATATTGAACAGTTAGGTAATCTCTTTTGGTAAATTATTCAGACTATAGAAGGAATTCTTCGATGCGTGGCGTGTCAGTACCGAAAGCTTAATCAATAAAGAAAGCATAATTTTAGGAAAACATTCTAACTTTGTAAAATGAACGATTCGAGGACAAGTTCCACAGAAAATTTACTGCAGATGGAAAATGATAAAACAGAAAAGAGTCTTCAAAACGCTGCTGAACATACCAGGAGAGAATCACCAAAAACTATCCTTTTGTTTTGTATGTTTGGATGTATGGCGTGTTTTCTAGCTGGAGTCGTCAGATTAACTGCTGCCGAGGATATTCTGAAAAAGGAGTAGAGCAAACAGGTAACGTGCAAACATAGTTGAGTATAAGAGGGAAAATGGACAATGTACAATGTTAATCCAAGTTTCGGTTCATACAATTGTAGAAAATCTTCTGTTCTCTTCTGTGTAGTCTTCTACTTGCCTTTCACTCTCTAACTGGTTGCGACAAGACAAGTGGACCATACATGATTGGCAAAAAGAGATCGTTTGACGTCTTGAAGAAAAACGCAAGCAAGTACGAAGCTTTGACCCACCTAGGAGATGATGCAGATATACATCCTGATGTCTTGTTGGTTGCTGAACAGCTTATTTGCTTTCTATATTCTTCTGCAGAAATTGAAGGCAGGTACAACAGCTGATGACGTGAGGTGAGTTAACGAATTCTTTACTAAATTGATGAGATTTTCCAAGTTAAGGATTGGTATTTTCGATGTAGGTACTGGATATTCTGTCAACGAAGATCACACAACGAAGGGCTACCACCGACCTCAAACAGCATCCGCCTCCACATTCAGCGTGCAAACTACCAAACTTTGATGTGGAAAAGATGTCTTCAAGCTAAGCAAGAACTTCCCTGCCCAAATGGTAACGGATGGGAGTTAACAGAGAATGGTCTCAAACCAGTACTGATGACACAAGATGCTGCACCAAAGGGGCTTGCTGAATTGACAGTTTGCACATGCCAGAAGTCTTCCTGCAAATCTAGTGTACAGTGTGCATGCCGAAGATCTGAGCTCCCATGAAAAAAAAAATCTCAAAGTGACGCGTGTTTGCGTATGCAAACTTGTCGAGCAGTATTATTTTTGTCTTTACTGCATTTCTATTGTCATATTGAATTGAAATTACTGTTGTTCTGACGATTTTTCAAAAAAAATTCGACTGCTTGACGTTTAGTTCTGGGACTAAACGTCAGGCAGTCAAAAAATCTCATAGTGCCGTGCTTGTGTTTGAAACTTGTCGAACAGTATTATTTAGGTCTTGATTGCATTTCCCTTGTTGTATTAATTGAAATTATCGTTGTTCCGACGATTTTTAAAGAAAAAAATTCGACTGCCTGACGTTTAGTCCTGGGACTAAACATCAGGCTGCCTTACGTTTAGACACTCCGTTTAATAAGACCGTATCATTTAGTAATGCTCTGCAAAAATTTGGCGCGCAGATTTAGAAGAATCGATAACGCCGCTATTATAAGAAATATAACTGACTGATTCCGACGGAAGATATCAAATAATTTCCCCGTTTCGCATCTATGATTTGCGCGCGAAAGGATTGATAATTGAATTCTTTTGAAAGTTCTAGCGAAGCGCACTTAGAATTGCTTGCTTTTCCTTTCTGTTTTGACGATGTTTATACGTTTTTCTGAAGATAGCTGGAGCATAAAAACGAATCCCTTTCCTTAGGTGCTATAAAGGCTCAAAACTTTGCTTTGTTTTTGAAGAAGTAATTTTGGTTTATCACGTAGTAACATTTTGAGTCGATCAAGGTCAGTGCTTTCTATTCATCCACCACTCAAGTGTCCTCAAGTTCTATAGTAAAAGCTACTTACATGCTTTGATTGATCCCTAGCGGTTGCTCCGCAAGGAAGCTTATTAGGAACTTTTTTATTAGCAAATTTATGCATCAGGCAATTGAAACCAGGTCACCAAACCCCGGGGAGAGTCTGAGTCAGTGGAATTAACGTCTAAATGAAAGGAAGCGACCAGTGAAGACGAATGTTTTGGCTTCAAAGGCACGGGAAATAAGTGGACTTGAATGAACGACGTTGAAATGTTAATTCATCGGCTATTGCCTGGGGCTCGGGGGGCGTGGTTTCGATTGACTGATGCATTATTATGTACGTATCCCGGCTGTTTTAATCAGCGGCATTTACAAGAACAATTTTTCCTTGACAAGTTTTCGGCTTGAAAAGGAAAAATTGCTCGTGTAAATGAGGTGAAATGAGCAATTTTTCCTTGTCAAGGAAAAGCCAAAATGTTCGCTTTTCCTTGACAAGGAAAAATTGTCAAGGATGAAATTTGCTCGTGTAAATGAACAACAAGGAAAATGTGGCAAGGAAAAATTGTCAAGGAAAACTTGTTGACCATTCACACCGGCAACTTTTCCTTGCCAAGGAAAACTTTTTCCTCGTTTACACTAGCAAAGAAACATTGTCAAGGAAGAATTGTCGAGGAAAACTTGTTGACCATTTACACGGGCAATTTTTCCTTGTCAAGAAACTTGTCAAGGAAAAATTGCTCGTGTAAACGGTGCTTTAGTCAGAACAATTGCCTCCATTTTGGTACAAAGGTGTGAAGATAAAAGTTAAGTGTGTATATCAAAGAATTGCCCCAGAAAAGGTTCCCTTCGTTTGTCAGCCATATTTGGTAATCTTGCCATATTGGGAAGTACTTGTGGACCAATTTTTGGCGATTTTCTTGAATTTAAAAGGAAGGAAGCAAGGAAGGGAGCAAGGATATAGCATTTTTTCATAGCTATGGAGCTCCGCTACAAAATGACAATTATAAACTTAATTCATTGCTTTCCATTGAAGTCCTTAACATTATGGAGCTGGTATAGTCACTCTGAAGCCACAAAAACTCCTTTTGAACGGCTATACAACAACCAACAATGCATTTCGATCGGTCTTGGAATACACTATCTTCAGTATTTGACGTTTTCTGTATTAGCTGAACGCAAAATAAGTAAAGACTGCTGGTGAGACAACCTGTTTATTTTGTTTATATTGATTTAATTAAATTTGTTTTTTATTTTCTATGAATCTGGCATCTAGGCATTCTTTGCGCGTAACAACATCAGTCTGAAAGCAAAACAGAGCGTAATAAGTTAATACCCGTCTTAAGGGGGATCTGCGGACACTTATTTCAATGCATCAGTCGACATTACTCCCTTTTACAGTTTCCCAGTGCCATCTTGAAAAGTAACCGAGGCTTCGCATCAAAATAAGGTAGGAGTTGAGCTTGCGCGCATTGATATAATTGTGAATAATTGTCGGCAGATATCGATCACTGCAGGCTCAACTCCTGTCTCTATTTGATGCAAAGGCTCGGCTACATTTCAGGATGGCGATGGTACTTATACCATAGAGTATTGAAGGCCAGTCAAATCAATTCAGCTCAGTGCTGCATAAGCTGTACTGGGCCGGGTTGTTCAAAGCCCGATTAGCGTTAACCCAGGGTTAAGTGTTTCGATCACAAATTTCGATTCCAAGTGTCGATAGGATAAAGCAAATGAAAACAGCCTTCCAACATTGAACAGGGGGCTGGGGACACGATATTCTAGGGAATGGCTGTCATGTTGTCAAATTGTAACTTTGTTACAGTAACACTTTGCAATGTCTCACGTAAAATGTCTAGGATTGTAGGTACTTTCAATGATGTCGTTATTACCTCGATAAGGCCAAGGAACGTTCACGCAGTCTTGCGCGTTTCTCCGTTAACGTTGGCTGCTACGCAAACGTAATCCAGTCTTGCGTTGTGTGGAGTGACATTCGATAAAACAAGGCGAGAACCAACGAGCTTCGCAGAGTCATTTCGAATCTCTTCATACTTTGGCTTGCCAAGAAAGTCAACTTAAAAAAATTGATAAGAAAACGATAATAAGATTATACGTACATATAATAGTATGATGAATGATATCATTAAAAATCATGCACAGGTCTTATTTAGAAAGGGGCTACACAGGGTTCCCGTGACCACTTTCTAAGCCAAAAAAATCCTAGTCATAACCGCGAAAAGGGTCAGTGCTATACGCAAGGCGAGGACTAAGTTCACTTCATCTATTGGTGTAGTTTCGGTCTCCACAGGCAACTACTTTTTCCTCCTTCGGGCTTCGTTTGTATTAGTCATCCTGACAGTTAGCGACTTGTGACGGGAAAGGAAAAATATGAAGAGAAGGAGTTGGCATCGCGCATCTTCCCTCTCTCGCTCTAACTCTCCCTGTTCTGGCTCCCCCAAAAGACAGAAAGCCTGTGACTCTTAGTGATGCCTGTGGAGAAGGCCACTGTTGGTGCTATTTCGTCCTTTTTTTGAATCCGCTGTTTCATTTGGGCATTTTGTTTTTTTGATTTCGTGCGTTTACCTGGTATATTACCCTTGTTGATGATCTTCCATTGTACAGACACAAGTTTGTAGTTGTTGTCTTTGATATTGCACTCTAATGTATCGTCGTTAGGTCTCCATTTTTTTGGTTTCTTGACTGAAGTGATTTCCAGCAAACCTTTAGAAAAATATCATGAAGTTACTCTTAGAGTACAAACACTAAAACTGTGCAACATAAATACCACTAAATACTGCTAAATTATGCTAATTCTATTGTTTTCTATTGTCTAATTAACACTATTTTGTAGTAAATAGTGGAAAGTGTTGCACACATTTAATGTTTTTTGTACTCTATTTAACTGCAATCTAAGTGGTCAACGAGAATGGAAAAAAGTTTGAGCGCGCTCCAATACTCTGTTTTTATCGTAAGTTAATATTTTTAAACAATCATATATTCAAAATAGTATCAAGGACATTTAGTGTATTAAGTCAGCAAGCTAACTTATGCGAACAATACGTACCACCCATCCCATGTTTTTTTTTTCTTGCAAAGAATAATCACAAATTCAATTTATTGGCAAACTTTTTTTTTGAAACCCTTACCATTCTGTTGCTGGTTTGTTGGTTTCACATCTGTTAAAGGGAGACAAAAATTAGATCTAGCTGCATGGGATTCCTGTTAAAGTCTATTCTTAAAATTAGGCCTGGATTTCTGTAGTCCTCGTCTTTGTGTTTTTGCTGAGTTTTGCGATTCAAATGGGAAGCACACAAAATCTTATGCAAAATAAACGGAACACCCTACCCCCTTTCTCCACTGCAAGGTTGCACAGACGTTCCTTCCCAGTACATCTTTTGCGATTTCCACTGGAAAAAATCGCGCGCTTTCAAGGTTGTAAATTTGATGTAAATATGATGTAAGTGTCCAAAATTCTGTAAATTTAATGGAAATTAAACGTTGAAAGTTATCCTTTAGCAGCATAGTTGAGTGATGTGATGAAAATACAATATGTAGCCGGAGCCGCTAAGTGTGTAGATGGAGTTTACAACAAAAATATGATTCCGAGCTTTCGCTGTCTACAGCATCATCAGGGAATTAATGGAAATTATTTGCATCAAATTTACAGAATTTTGGACACTTACATCATATTTACATCAAATTYACAACCTTTAAAGCGCGCGATTTGTTCCAGTGTTCATAGCAATTCATTGACAGCAACATTGTAATCAAGCCGCCAATGGCAACACAACTCGAAGATTGATTGTGAAGACGAATACAGAAAGATATAATGATGAATCAAATTATRATTACTTAATRAATAGAATTTTAAATAAACGATTTATTAATATAGTTTTATAATTTAACTTCGGTTCTGGATAAACACAAGCGAGCGCCGGTGAGATGAATACCACTCGAGCTACAACTATGAGTAAATGGTGCCACGACCAGAAGCGCTACATCTGGATCCGAA